CATACTTAGCGGATTATATATAGTAGGATGATCCTGCTAAATGTGTATAAAACCATTATTTGTTCTATTTCGAGCATTTTTGACGTTTTCTTTGCTTCTTTCTACAGCTGAGTTACAAAGCTCTTTCACATTACACACATTTTCAAACCCTCTCCACGATTTGTACTCGCAGAGCGTGCTTCTCAGTCTGAAAAAAATGAAAAAAAACAGGATAAAAGCCCAGAACTATCTGGTGGCTGCCTAACTACCACTCGGAAAAGTGGTTAGCCGGCAAATGAACACTAACACCTTAGCACACAATGAAACATTTATTGTCTGTCGTGGGCCGACGATACCACATTCAGTGTTCGATAGCGTTTTTTGTACTTTCTGTAACTGGCACGATGAAGTGGCGGCGTCAGCTCAAGCTGTCGGTTAGTCGAGAGAGGCGGTTCTCGCGCACACGGCACTACTCGACGGACCAGGAGATTTGGCGCACGCGTTGGTGTTGATGGTATTGGCGGTGCTGGTGGAGAGGCTGTGGGGTGTTTGCCGGCGACCAACGACGACCCTTCGACTTACCGTTCGGGTTCTGAGATAGGCGGTATGCGAGCATATATTGGAGGGCAAATATAGTCGCTGGTTAGCGGCATCTAGTCCGACTAATTCTAACCCGGAGACGGCAATTAATCTAGGCAGAGCATGTCGAGTCTTCATCGTCGGTCGCCGACATGGCGATGGACCCAGCTACAAGGAGAAGAAGGAGATGTTGGCGCTACACGGCTACGCGCTATACACAGCAGGTCGGGAAACGACGATGGAAAAGAATTGGAATACAAGGAGGAGAGGAGATCATCTTCGCTGAGATCGTACGAGGTGATCGTAGTTGGAGCGTCGACGGAATAGGCGGGCGCCCGCCGCTCTAGCACACTATCAGGACAGCAGTAGATCGACAGCACGGACCGGTAGATAGGAGAGAGTAGGGCTGAAATGGAAATGTATTTGGAAATTAGATTAGATTCAAAAAGGTTGAGACAGATAACACTGATACACAAAATGTTTATAGTATAGTGTAGTTCGCTGCGGACGGTTGGGCGTGTCAGGCGGGATGAGTTTGGCGCGGTGCCAAACCCGTTCTCCACCAGTTGTTAAAGCGAGCAAGTGATATGACTGTATCATATCGTTCGTATTACTCGTTTTCTACCACTTTTTGTCGCATACGCGTTTCAACAAAAAAGGCTGAGAACGGCTTCAACAGTGTGCACACTCCTTCTGGCTGACACGCCCCACCGGTCCGCAATGATGAGGACTGTACAACTGTTGTCGCATCCGGCTTCAATAAATGGCAGAGAACGGGTATGACGCCGTGGCACACTCATACAGCCTGACACGCCCCTCCGTTCGCAGCGAGCTAGAGTATATCTACCGCTGTCATACATACACACACACTTACACACACACACCACACCACACACACACAAACCGAGTCGAGACACACACTTCCCAACGAGATAATGTGGACGTAGTTGGACTCCATATCCCGAAGTTGTGGGGAGGTGTGGTTTCATGAAAGCCAGGGTTGGCCGACAGTGCACGACGCCTTCTTCGGGATATCTCCATTTGTGACAATTGAAGACTTTCGGCTGGAGTCACCGTTATATTAGGTTGTCCGGAAAGTTCTCAGCGTTTCGAGTGTTTCACTTTAAACGATCATAACTTTCTTAATACTCATCGGATTTAATCCAAATAAGCACCATTCGAATCAGCACACTTTTGCCAATGTGACAGCAGTCGAGAAATCCCATCAAAGAAAAACTGGGTGGTCGAGAGTTCACGAAATCCACGAAGGCTTTTTTGCCTGGTCCTGATTGATGAAGTATTTTCCAGCAAGGGAGTTCTGAAAATGTTAGAAAAGGTGATAGTCGATTGGCGAAAGGTCTGAAGAATATGGCGGTTGAGGTAGAACTTCAACCCCCAATTCGTTCAATTTATGGATAGTGATTTGTGAAACGTGTGGGCGGGCGTTGTCATGCAAAAGAATCGGACCCTTTCTTTTGATAAGTGTTGGCTGCATGACAAAATTTTCGGTACAATTCGTCGATTTCTTCACAGTAGGGTTCTGCTGTGATGGTTTGGCCTGGTGATAAAAAGTTATAGTGGATCACACCAGCCGATGACCACCAAACCGTGACCAGAATCTTTTTTTTCGTGAGGGTTCGGCTTTGAAAATTACCTCGGTGGTTCGTCGGAATCCAACCACTGTCCGGAACGTCTCCTGTTATCATACATGATCCATTTTTCATCACAGGTGACAATTCGGTTCAAAAACGGGTCGTTTCTGTTGCGCAAAAGCAGTGAAGAAGAAACCTCGAGACGTGCCAATTTCTGCCGGTCACTCAAATTGTGGGGCACCCACTTGTCGAGTTTTTCACCTTCCCAATGCGTTTCAGACCATCCGCAACAGTGGATTTGCCAACGCCTAGCTTTCTGCAATCTCTCGAACTGTTTGGGATGGGTCAGCCTCCAAAATCCCTTCAAATCCTCGTCAGATATTGCTTTAGGTCGACCGCTATGAGGTTCATCTTCAAGGCTGAAATCTCCAGAACGAAATTTGTTGAGCCGCACGGTGCTTTCTCTACACTATTGGGCCCCCACACCTGGTTAATTTGTCGAGCTGTCTCGATGCGGATTGACCTAATTTTTAGTTGAAGAAAAATATCGTCCGAAGTTGCTCTTTTGACATGCTTCAAAAAGTCTTGGGAAAAGGGGGTTTATCAAGCATGGTGAAACGGCAATTATACCATCAGATAGCGCAAAAAATTCTCTTCAGGATGTACTACTGAGACGCAAGGGAGAATGAGTTTTTAATCAGCAATGAATGTACAAAAAATAGTAACACAAAACGCTGAGAACTTTCCGGACAACCTAATAATTGCCCCAAAACGGCGGTATCTCACCAAGAGCGCAATCGCCGCCGCGGTTCAAATGAAGTACACGGCCACGCCTCCTCGGTCTCCGGGATTAGGAGTATGTCGTGCCAATTAAGCGTCTAATTTGACGGCTCAAATCAGCATTTGGAAGACAAGTACTCTTGTGCTTGCCGTTGGTACTGTACTAGTTCTTGACTAAATGTGAACATAACGGTCACGGGATTACCTCAATACTTCAGACCCCACTAAATATAATCTACTTTTATAAAAAAGAATTCAAAGGGCAAAATACTCACTGAATAAAATAATGTTTGGCTTAGTGCACAAGTGGTGCTTTGTCGGAGTCGAGCAGTCCAGTTGGAGAAGTTTTCTCGCCGGGTTGGACCTTCGCGATTTCCTCCAATACCGGCACCGGGCCACTAAACATCAAAGGCTAATTTTGTGATGCTCTGAGTCGATGCGAAAACTGTCAAATGTTTCTCCCAGCGTCAAGGTTTTATGAAACGCTTCTGGTGCGGAATTCTCCTGCATTGGCAATAGAGAAGTTTGTACGCTGGAGTCCTCATCAAGTCAGGGTCGTATTCGGTCATTGGCTGGAGTGGAGTGGGTGCAAGGAAAAGCCTCTGTTCCCGACAATTGATCGAAGATATTTACTCCCTCCCCTCCCCCCCCCTCTCCTCTCCCCCCCACCGCCCTCCGCTCGATGGCCAAATTCTGGAAAAGTTGGGAAGCGTAACTAAGATGATCGGACGGTTGTGGAAGGGGTTGTACAGAAGAAAATTCGGGAGAAGGTAATATTCGGCAAAGTTCTCCCCAACGCCAGGACATGCCTTCAATGCCCTCCTCAACCTTTTGAGAAGGGCTTCACGTGATAGTGTTTGTAGTATAATGAAAGAAAACCATAAGTTTACCTCGAGTGCGATACAGAAGGTTTTTCTTGGGGATAGATGCGTACAGGTGGTTCGTTGGGCGAGTTATCCTCACTCATAAAACCAGCGAGTCTTTTTGATCCAATACAAGCAGCCAGAGTCGGAATGATAAGAGACACAGCAAGCAGTATAGCACCGGACGCGAACACACAAAAACCTGAAAATGAAAATAATCCTACATCATAATCTATTTCCTCGCCCATGCTCATATTGTAAGTACAAGGGTGATAGTAATGGCGAGAATACATCTGAGGCTGAAGGATCAGCGAGAAAGGGCGAAAAAGGCGCTTTGCTCATGGAGCGTACTTCCAAAAGATATAGGCATGAGTAAATGGAAGATATAGGCATGAGTAAATGGAGATCTTGGTCACTGCATTCGCCTTTCAATTATCGCATTTTCAGACCGTAACTGGCGCTCCTGGAATCCCAGGACGCTTGGCGGCCAACTCCGCGTGCAGGGTCGATGCATGAGAAAGAACCGCAGTAAGTAGCTGGTCAGTCTGCGTCTTTGACTGCTAGAGCAAGCAGTTTCTAGAAGCTCGCATGCGAGGAACCATTCCGCAGATGGTTCTAACATACTGTCGCCCTCAATGAGCTTGACTGAAATCGTTGATTCATCCAACTTATTTCACGCAGGCATAGGTGCGAAGCTACAATCGTTTGGACCCGCCAGGTCAACAACAGGTACACATGCGATGTTTAACTTCTGCTGAAAGATATACTGAATCATGGGGGTCCTATAGTGCATGCGTGGAGAAGAGGCTTACTTCTGTATCTGAGAGCGTTTACAGACAAGCTAGCTGCAATCAAAGCCAACAAAAATTATGGATATTTTCGTCTTCCGCTAACGGTGGTGATAGCGGAGGAAGGTCTGCCTCTCAGAAATCCGCCTTCCGTCCACTTTCACACCTTGTCCGACATCAAATTGGCTTGTTCATGGCACGGGCAAAATGTTTTTTGCCTTCCCTCTGCATTAATTAATTCAATTTTTGAACAGAGTTACTTGTTCTTCGAAACTGTGGGCGATTCTCAGCTGCTCAAGAACGGAAGTTTGGTAAAAGGCGCAGGCTCTCCGGGACACCGGTCTGTGTTCTTCTGTGATTCCAGAAGTGGTAGAGCTTTCGGGTGTTTGTAATCGACATCACTCACCAACGGTCTTCCAAAGTCTCATAGGATCGCGTAACATTTCTCGAAGTTTGTCCTGTGGTACGTAATAGCCTCCATCTTCGTCCTGAAATGGTTTCAAATTTAGGTAAAGATGCGCTGTGCGTGCGTATAGCTGTATATTTTCTTCATTTTGTTCATCGTATTCCCATCGAAGAACAGGAGAAATCGAGACAAAAAGTTCTAACTTACCATAAATCATGCCATTACTGATAGAAAAGTTTGTTATGATTTCCCATCATTTATCATTTCATTGCGCATCAGTGCCTACTATATTCACATGAATTAAACTTCTGCACTTCTCCCCTCCTCTCCACCTTCCCAAGGAAAATGGCACTGAATTGGCGCGTGTCTTTTCTGAGGATTGGTTGACGGGTTCAGTGACCATTATTACGGTTTCTTATGGTTTCTTGGATTGGAGTTGTTAAGGAGTTATCCATCAACAGTGACATCACGTTTCTATTCCTATCGTAGGGAATAGAAACGTCATCACAGATGGCGTTAAGTCTTCTGTTACAAGGAGTTGACGGTTCGAGGGCGGCTTCGGGCGAATGCGCGTTTCCGAGTGTATACCACAAACTCTGGTACTTGGTCCACGTGCTTCCGAATAATGAAATCGACACAGTCTCTGCAGTTTCAGAGCTGTAATCCTTACAAGAAGGAATGACTGTCCCACCCAACTATTCAAGGAATTCAGCTTACGATTAGATTAATAATTTGCGCTTGTTTGGACATTTAGAGGTCTGATACAGTCTTGTTTGTCAGGGGACTGGGTATGGCGCAGCCTGCTCTTCACCAACTGTGGTCTCTCGCCAGATTCCACATGCAGAACGGATTGGCGTCGCGCCAAATCCACCCCCTCTCCAATACGCCCCAATGTCTGCAGCGAAGAAGGTCGCACCTCCTATGCGATTATGTCAAAGCGTAATCGAGTGCACGGAGGATTCGCTCCAAGGGTGTCTGGATGAAGGGACATTACTTTTTCTCTCAAATGAACACCATATGGCTGATGATGAGGGGATTCCCTCATTAGCGTTCTTCTCTACATGACAGCAGTGTTTATTCAGAAACGCCTAATAGGCGCTCAAAAAAGGCTGCCATGCAGAAAACTCTTGCTAATCGATGACGACGTAAACGCGGTGGTATTAGTTATGCTTTGAGAGAAGTCGAGAAATGAGATCAGCGCTCAATATCAAAGTATTTCTATGCGGAAGCTTGGGAAGGGAACAGGTGGTTTTGTTAGTGTTGCGATCTTCCTCGAGGGCTTCTTCGATGCGCCGTCTTTGGTTTGCACTTGCAGGTTCTCATTGACATTTTAGACAGGCATTACTCCATATGAACTACGCGTCCACGCTGAAGAAGAAGGTTGAGGTGCATGGCGCTAATCAATACAGTCGTTATCATTGAAGTTAGTCAGGGCATATCAGCGTTGCGTGGGTTTTGACGCGGCGCCAGCCGATTTTTCATTGATTACTGCGGCTTCGGCCGTTCAATGAGTGGTGCAAACGGTTAGCGCTTCGCCAAAACCCAAGCAACGCTGACACGCCCTGACTGGCTTCGGCAATAACGACGGTGCACATTCGATCGGCATAGCCCATACTTACAATTTCCACTCGCGATGCAGAAAATAGGAGCAGTTCGGCTTGGTGGGGACACCGTGTAGTACGTAGCAAAGCGAGTGTGGTGCACCTTGTAAATAGTGCCATTTTGCAGTTCAACAGGAACTTACAGATGTCACCGAAGTGTAGACTATTGGCTATCGTGAACTAGCATGCAGCGTGAAACTAGCGAAAGTGCAGAATGCCCCCCCCCTCAAGCCGAACACACCCAAAAATAAGTCTTGACCAGAAATGCATTCGAATCGGTGTATCCCTTGTGATAGGGCGACGCAAACGAACCAACTAAAGGAGGAAGTTGGGCTTAGGTGGTACTCAATCTTTCCGAGCGTGAAAGTGCAATGACGACAGCAACTTTCCACGGTTGCCTCTTCATCGCATGGCTGATCTGCCAGGAGTACTCGAAAGCTCACTGAGTTGCTTCCCATCTCTACGCTCATCTGAGAAACCCAAGTAGGTCTATTCGAGAGAATAGCTGGCTGGGTTTACTTATGTGATAGGTTTGCCCTCTCAACGGAACATCTTCCTACCAGAAGTTGGCGATTCTGAAGGTTTCATCGCTTCTAGGGCAGGGGAGGCGCAAGGGTCGGGCATATATACACCTTGTAATATTTTGTAGTTTTTTTCTTCATCTCAAACCCTGCCATAGGAGGTCAGAAGACTGGTCGCTCAGTAGTTGGACTTTAATAATCATTTCTTTGTGCAAGTACTTACATCCTATTCAGTCAAAAGACTCCTTAGAACAGAAGAGACCTAACACACGAGAAAACCCTATACTTATTCATTCAGCGTAAAAGTTACTAAGATTCAACTTATTCCTCTTCGGTTGTTTTTCGTACAGTGGCTGCGAGTGAGGGATGTTCTGTTTTCTAAATTGTTTTCCGACTTCACCCGTGAGAGAGGGTACCAATGGAAGGGACCGAGGGACGCGAAAACAAACATCCTCTAGGCAACCAATGAATTCTTCGACGCGAAACGGAGGTGGGTTGTCCAAACAAAATATAAATATGATGGATTCGTGGTGCAATGAGCTGTTTTCATGTTTAGAAAGGCAAAATGCCGAATGTTGACGTGGTGTTGTGGGATTACGCGACTTGTCGCTCCCTTAGTCCAGCAAAACAAGAAGTACCCTTGGAAGCATGACGCAACTTCTTAAAAGGTGAAAATCTGTTTTTACACGGAAGAATAAGTCATGAAAGTGTTAGCACAGTTTCTGATATTCCAGTTCAGTAGTTCCAGTCGGTAGAGATTGATGTATTTAGGTTGTTCGGAAAGGAATGCGCGTTGACTTTGTCTATTTATTTCTCTTCTACTATAGGAGATTTTTCAAAACAGTTTTGTCCATTAGAGAGAGGTTTTTATTGCGCACTTTTGATAGTTTGTTGTTTGATAACTGCTGTTATTACACACCACCCCCGCCGCAGTCGCGCGATACGAAAGGTGAAAGTGAGAAGAGATGTGCTTTTGATTAGTTTTTTCTAAGTATACCTTGTTTTTTTAGACGACAAAAGTTTGAAGACCAAATGCCTGCCGATCCAAAAAGTTTCGGACACTGCGCAGCTTGTATGTGGAAGACTTCAAGCAACGTCCCTCGACGACGCACGTTGGTGGACGGCTACGATGACCCCACTCGGCTCACGAGGGGCAGCGGCGCAGACCTAGCGTCACACTCGGCGCGGCGAGAAAAGCTGCGGAAAAGAGGCGTCTTTTGGACCGACCGATTTCCTCTCCGGCGACCTAACTGACACACCCGAAGGGAAAAGGTAGTGTTAGAGAGGCTCTTTTGGCCGGAAGTTCTTCGCCGTACAGTTGGCAAACAGAGTCATCTGCTAAACGTAATGGAGATTACTGCTTTAGATGTGACCTTGTTTAATGATTCGTTTTTATTATAAAAAATTTTTTACACTCAAACGCGCATTCCTTTCCGAACAACTTAATAACATGAAGTGATAAGAATCCTGAGTACTTTCCATGTTGCCGCCTGGGTTGCAAGTTCTGCGGTCCACTAACGGGGAATGATGGGAAATCGAAAGTAGCGAAAATCAAAGCATGTGTGGGAAACTCCGCCCACTCCTTCAGGTGATAAAAGTGCAGTCTACGTTGACGCGTGAGCAGAGATGGCCATCCACTGCGCTTTTTTCATTGCCTGGCGTGGCACGGAAAATGAAGCGGCCCACCAATCAAGGAAGCATCATGTTCAACTATGCCCGCCCATACGATCGACGAGGACTGCACCCTTACACAGTTATTCTAGCGAACTGCTTGTGTGACGAGGGAGAACCTAAATACCTAAATCAAGAGATCAATGATCAACCATATCACATTGAATCTAAAGAACATCTAGCAGCCTTGCTAATTGTCAAAATAGAGAAATCCTGCCTGTAGGGGGCCCTTTTGTCCCAAATCCACCGACTGCAAAAAATAATTTTGTGTCTACAAATAAAGAAATGTGTATGCCGCGTAAAAGCTTGTCCTATTCCTGATTATGTGATACCAGAGTGTGTGGATTGGCGACAAGGGCAGTCGTGATAGGTGACCTGCTCTTGCTCGCCCAGGTTCGCTTCTGCAACCCATTGTTTCTGCGGTTATTTTGCTCTTCTCCTGACACTAGGCTTTTCACAAAGCAAAATCCCTGTCACCAGATAGCGTTCAGAGTTCGCGACGCTTCGGTCGCGCTGCTAAACTTGGACCTCGGTGTTATGTATTTGGCGGGGAGGG